CTGTCAAGAGCTAACTCTAAGACTACTGCATTCTATGCCGTAGAGTTCTAAACTTTCTATAGTACATTCTCACGGGAATCTAAGAATCTTTAGCTATTTTGCTTTTAATTATCTGCTTATCTTTAAGCAGGAACAATCTAAATTAGCATTCTCAATTTTGAGAGCCCCTACTCAAATGAATTACTTGCTTAAGCAAAGGATGAAATATGTTGGGAGACAAAATGGAATGTTCAGAAACAAATGCTTCAGGCCTTGCTGGATCCAGGGTCTCAGATGACCTCACCAGGGCTCTAATTTTCTCTCTCTGTCTTTGTTCTGCTTCCCTGTGTGGGTTGCTTTTATTCTCAGACAGGCTTTATTCATGTGGTGGAAAGACAGCTACCAGAAGCCCCTGTTTCTATCTTTATAGATAAGAAGTCAAGAAGAATAGATTTGTCTTTTTTAGGTATCAATATATCAAACCTAAGGCCCTTTACCTACCGTTGAACTCTTTAGCCTCAGCAGGGGAAGGGAGAGCTCAGTTCTGCCAACCCTGATGCATGCCCACACCTGAGTTTGGATGTGTGAGACATCAAGATTGACAGCTCTGTCTCAACTCATGGAGATTGAGAGGGGTTCTTTACCAAAGGAAAGGCTTATGATGTTACCGAAGGAACAGCAGGAACATTCCATCCCTTACCAGCTTAGGATGTGTACAAAATCAGAGTTTCTTAACGATGAGATCAGGAAATAGATGCTGAATAAGTGACACAAGATGTCTGCTACAAATAAATATGACAGGAAAGTATAACAGATAGAATAAAATATCTTTTTACTTTCCCTCTCTCTCCAAGAAAAAGTTGACCTCCTCCACTCAGTAGTGCAATACAAATGTAAAATTGCGTAAAAAAGAAAAGCTATGGAGGAGGACCTCCATGAAGGATGGAAGAACAGCCAGAGTATGTTAGCAGCAGTAGCAGGAGTAGCAGCAGGTAGCTGGACAACTTTGTAAGTTACAAATTGGATTTAAACAGAGAGGGAGTTGGAAGAGGAGACATTATTTTCTGCAGAAGATGATGGGCGGAGGAAAACAACAAAGAAAATAAATAAAATTGAGATGATTAACAAAACACAATGCTAAGAATGTAAATTAGGACTGAGCCCTTAACTTAAGTTACGCATTTTTTATTAATCTCTGGGTGAGAAAAGATTAATGACTACACAGAACCAAGCCTGTGAACACATTTTATAATGTATGATCTTTGTGCCTAAAACTAGATTCTTCTTTAATTAAATATGACACTAGAACAATAACTGGCCTAGTTTTAGATTAACCATTCTCAACACAAAGATTTTCCATTCAAATAATCTCAAAAAAGCAAATACTCTGTCATCTATTAAGTTGCAGATCCTATGCACTGTGGCTAAAGATTTAAAGATAAATTAAGTACTATTTGTACTGGGTGTCTGTAGATTTTGCAAGCTCAGCATCACTTTCCTGTTTCTCTAATAACAGATCATGCATTTCATTCGGTTTAGGTGGTGTTAATGCCTAGCTTCTGACTTTCCTCAACCAGACTATGGCAGTAGCCCCAGTTATTGATCCAGGAATGAACACTTGACTCAGGAAGAACCAATTAAAGCCTTCCTTTAGAGTTGATCAAGACCTTTGAGGTTCGAGTATTTCAATCTGATGCAATTTTTGTAAAACAAAATTATTTCAAAATCTACTAATTATCCTTTAAGTTCTAGAAACCGCATACTATTACTAAGAGGACAGCAATTTATCTGCCATTGTTTCTGCTCTGCCCACTTTATGTTTCAGTCACTGTCAAATAAACGCAGTGGGGAATGGCAAAACCACTTCTGATTCAATCAACACATGAGTGCTTCTTGGGTACAAAACACCATTCTAAACATTGTCCAGCAGAAAAAGATAAATAATACCCAGCCCTTACCCTCAAGGATCTTACAACTTGGCATGGGAATTAAGACACACACACAGATGACTGCAGTAAAAAGAAGATAATGATTGCTGCCAGATGTTTGGGGAGAATGAGCAGAGCAAAGAGAGAACACAGAATAACGCAACAATCAATAGTGAGCCAAGAAATATTTATTGAGCAATCACAAGTTGTGAAATGGAAATGGGAGAGTAGAAAATGGAGTGAGACATGGGCAGGCAAAAATCAAGTGACATTACTTGTTACCCAACTCTCCAAATAGTCTTTTTGTCACCAAGTTGCTAATAAATAGCCTTAAATTAAAAACTAAATAAGGATATAGCCTCTGTCCAATAGAGCCCAAGATCCTGATGCTTAAATGCTAGGATCATAGTACTTATGTGAAGGATGCCTTCCTATTGCTTTGTCTCTTTTTCCCTTTCCAAATGAACTGATGCATCTTTAACAAGATATCTATTTCAGCTGCCCCACCCTTTTTGCACCAGTGTATTAGAACAGGTGAATTAGAAGACGATCCTTTTGCCTTCAAACAACAGATAGAAAATACTATGTAATTGAAAAACTCCAGAGGCAATCTTTCAGGCATGACTGGATCCAGGAGTTCAAATGTTTTAATCAGGCCCTTATCTAGCTCTTCCCCCACCCTTCTGTCTCTTTTCCTTTTCCCCTCTCTTGTATCTCTTGTTCTGAGATTTAAATAGTTCCCTGTTCATGTGGAAGCTCCTGGTGCAGCTATAGGCTTATATCCTCATAGTTCCAGGATTGGCAGGAAGGATCGGGGTCCACCACAGTATAAGGTTATTCAAGGTGTGCACTTACGTAGCAGGGCATCACATCTAAGAGAGATTGATAATCACACTGTATACAAGGTAGATTAGTATATTAATTACAGCACTGTTTTCTTGAAGATGGCAGCAAAATGTTCTGTTCTTACAAAATCAGAACAGTATAATGTTTTCCAAAAGATATACATAAAGCATTTTGAGGAAGGGGACCCTCTTTTTTGTTTCCAATTCACGCACAGATTGTCTATTGAATAGCGTTGACTCTGTGTTACTACCCTAGTTACCGCTGTGAAAGTCTAGGGTTAGCCCTGGATGCCTCTGCTAAGTTCCATCTTTGAACTTATCACTATAGGCAGAAGGATCCCATGCTCTGACTATCCGGGCCTGAATTATAGAAAGTGTGATCTGTTCTCCCTAAGCCATAGTATTGAAACATGGAGCAGGGATACATCCAAAAAGAAATTGATGGACTAGGCTGTCCCTAGAAGGAAGAGGAACAGACGGTGAGCAAGGAAAAAAAAAAACTCCTCTCTACTAAGAAGTGTTTGTAATGCTCTTTGCATATCAAGAAACTGGTCTCCTACATACAAAGCAACAGAGGATATTGGCCTAAAAAGAGCGCCATGGCCAAAGGGATGTGGCCTATTTTTACAGAGGATTTGAGAGTTAATAGATAACTTGGCGAGCATCCAATTCCATCTCATCATTTTACAGATGGGGAAACTAAAACACAGACAGGGGAACAGAGGTGCCAAGCACACAGAGGAAGTTGGTAGCAGAGACAACCAATTGCCTGTCTTCTGACTTTTTGGGTTTTGTGTGTTTTGTTTGTTTGTTTGTTTTTTGTACAAAGACTTGTTTAGTACATTAACAACAACAACAAAAATTACAGTCTTGTTTCAGATTTCTCTCCACCCTCAAATCCGTATAATAGAGTTTGCTGCACTCCAAGAGAAAGCCTCAGCAAGAGTTGAGTTCGCCCTCTGAGTCCACTGTGGTGCCAAGGACAGTGACATTACCCTTTCTAATACAGAAATTAGGGCCACTTGTTGCTTTAATGGGCCAAATTTGGGCTGGGCCTGCAACAGGGGACACCTTTGAAAACCACCTTCTTGATTGCACTGAAACCTGCTCTGGCATCCTGATTTTGCCCCCAAATATCCAGCCACAAAAAGAGAGAAAGGCGTCCTGGATCAATGCGGAGACTTCTACCTGCCCCTCTTCCTCCTACTATCACCTCTTTCCTGCTGTTTCCTCCCTGCGAAAACCTGTCACCAGCCCAGAAGCCTCTCTGAAAACGGGTAGGAGGGAGCCTTACACCTGTCAGCACCAGAGAAGAAAGTGCGCTCTGCAGAGTTCTCAGTTGTTCCATCTCTTGAGAGGAAAGGAAGAAAAGGGTGTAGTCTGAGGTTTCCGCCACAGACTTGCTGGAGAACCCAGTTAATTCATCCGGCTCTGGCCCCGGTAACCCCTGAAGACCAAGGAAGCTCCTCCATGCCTAACGTTTCTTTTTGGGCGTGTTTCCCTACAGGCTAGCCCAGCGCCTGGCCCAGGAGAAGTCTCTGGGTAAAGATATTGTAAGTCATAAATCAGGCTCCTGTGTGTATGTGTGTTTTTCTTAGGAAAAACTGGCTCAGATGGATCAGCAGTGGAGACTGAGGTCTCCCTGCTCCCGTTCATCACTGGCTCCTTCACCTTGCTACTCCCTCGCATTCTCCCGAGGTGACAGTCGGGGCTCCGGATCTCAGGGTCGGGAGTAGTCGGCACCAGACATCCCCGCCCCATCCCGGGGCTGATGGCACCCTTGCCTAGACTGTGTGTGTGGATGCAGGCGGGAGAGCAAGAGGCTGCTACGGTGAGGAGCAAGAGCTCAGCCTTCGCCTGCGTCCTGCAATCCCTAGATCCCTGGGGACCGCGAAATTCCCAGTCAGAGGCACTCCCCCCAAGCAGCCCACCCACGCCCCCCCCCCCCTTTACCTCAGCACGCAGCCCCTCCCTGCGTGATGATGCAAACCGGTGGGGAGGGCGGGCGCTGGGAAGGGTGGGGAGAGACAAGAGCCAGCGAGGGAGGGAGGGAGTGGGAGGAGGAGGAGAGGGAGCCGAACGACCATTTAAAGCGATAGCAATCCGTGCCCTCTCCCCAGTGCTGGGCTGTTGGAGAGCTCGAGCGGCAAGCCAGGGAGAGCGAGCGTGGCACGCCGGCTAGCGAACCCGAGAGCGCACGGCTCCCCAAGCTGGCAGGCGCCGCGGGACCCCCCACCCTCTCTGGCCGCCCCTCCCCGGGCTCCCCCACGCTCCGTGCCTGCAGGAGCCCCAGGACTTCCCCGGAGGAGCTCACCCCAAGGGGCCCGGACCCCGGCGAGCCCGCCACCGTCCCCTCCAGCGCCTCCGCCACCACCGCAGCAGCCGGAGCAGCATGGTCCAGCTGGGGAAGCTGCTCCGCGTCCTGACTTTGATGAAGTTCCCCTGCTGCGTGCTGGAGGTGCTCCTGTGTGCGCTGGCGGCGGCGGCGCGCGGCCAGGAGATGTACGCCCCGCACTCTATCCGGATCGAGGGGGACGTCACCCTCGGGGGGCTGTTCCCCGTGCACGCCAAGGGTCCCAGCGGAGTGCCCTGCGGCGACATCAAGAGGGAGAACGGGATCCACAGGCTGGAAGCGATGCTCTACGCCCTGGACCAGATCAACAGCGATCCCAACCTGCTGCCCAACGTGACGCTGGGCGCGCGGATCCTAGATACTTGTTCCAGGGACACTTACGCGCTCGAACAGTCGCTCACTTTCGTTCAGGCGCTTATCCAGAAGGACACCTCCGACGTGCGCTGCACCAACGGCGAGCCTCCGGTTTTCGTCAAGCCGGAGAAAGTAGTTGGAGTGATTGGGGCTTCCGGGAGTTCGGTCTCCATCATGGTAGCCAACATCCTGAGGCTTTTCCAGGTAGGGGGTCGCTCCCTCCGGGGCAGAGCGCGCCTTAGCTCCCCGCGCTCTTAATCCTAATGCTGGCTTGGCCTCTAGGGGTGCTGGGTCAGGTCAGCCTTAGCACATTTCCACCCTGGAGATCCTACCGAATCCCCCCTCCACCCGACCCGAGGAGGTATCTTCCCTGCTTGGTTCATTTCCCTTCCATCTCTCCCCTGTCCGCGCTCCACTCCATCCGGCTTGACATCCTGGATTTATGGCCCCATTTACAAGAAGCAATCTGCGAAAAACAAGGCGATGATTTAAATGAGTTTGCATTAGAGTGAAATATGGTCCGAAAACAGGCTTATAAAAGTGCCGGGGCTCCTGTGAAAGCCAGTTAGGCTCATGGAATACGAAAGATGAGAAGACTCCTCGAAACTCGGCATTTCCCAACTCCCCAGCTTCCCAGCCCCAAGGCACCCGGCAAGCCGCAGCTCCCTTGGAAAATTTCGGGAAGAGTTTAGGGAGGCTCTTCTTAAACCGAAGGCTAGGTCTTCACCTGCATGTGGATGTTAATTGCCCATCTCTCTTGGGTTGGATTTCCCGACCTGTAGCCTGTCTCCGAGAGGGCATGGGTCGGAAAGGCACGGGGACGCTCCCCAAGTGGGGAGATGCCATCCGCAGACGTGCCCCCCAGGCGATTTGCTCTAGGCAATTGTTTGCACCATTTAAATCGCATTTGCAGTCCGGCCACTGGCAGGAGCTGGGCGATCAGTTTTCTACTCCTGCCACTTCAGAGCCCAGAGATGAGCTCATGCTAACTGCGAAACAAAATCGCTTTCGCTGCCTTCTCCTTTCGCCTGTTCTTTCCCACGACCTCCCTAACGCAGCCCGCCAACCCCGGTCCTCGGCTCCGAGGACGATTCCCGAAGCCAGGCAAGAAGAAGCCTGGAAGGAGGCAGTGGGGTGCGCTGAGCAAGGCCGGGCGATCCTCCTGCTCCAGGCGCCGAAGGGCGATGAGGGAAATGGGAGGAAGGCGGGTCCGGGGCAGTTGAGCGGTGGGTTCTACCGCAGTGCTCTCTTGCCGCCTGCCCCCGCAGCCTCTGCCCGGTGGCTCTTGTGCTGCATTGGGTATAAATGGGTGGCTTTTGGGTCAAGAAATTGAGTTTCAGGGTCTGTGTGACTGTGGGTGGTTCCCTTCTCCTGGATTCTCCGTGTTTCTCTCTGTATGGCTCTTTCTCTCCTTCTGTCTTTCTCCCTACTCTCCTTTTTTTTTTTTTTTCTATTTTTTTCTCCCCTTTTAATTTCTGCCTCTCTTCTCCCTCTCCACGTCCACCCCCAAGTTTTTTGTTCGTCTCTATCTTGAGATGATCCTTTCCTCATGCACAGCTCTCTCCCTGCCTGGTGGTGCCCAAACCCAACCAATCCTTCCTCCAGATGTTAGGGCTGACTCTGGTGCCGTTATGCTCCCCATCTAAAGAATCGGCTCTGCGCAGGGGCTTTCCCTAAAGGTGTTGGGTTTCTGGAGGGGACTCCTTGTGGAATTCAAGCTGTCACCACATCAGCTAGCAGGAGTGTGAAGTTTGTGTTTGCACCAGAAGGAGGGGTGCCTGTTCAAGGCTGCAGTTTGGTATGGCCTCTCTGATCATCTGAGGATCCCTGACACCTCCTGAGAATGCCATCATGGAGATCCCTAGATGTTTGCAAACCCAAAAATGCTTTGGGGGCAGCCTTCACTCTGAGCTGATGCTTTCAGGAAGAGCCTGGGTTATCCTAAGCAAAGCCCAGAAGTGCTTCTTTCATCTCTGAGCTTAAAGGTAGACAACCTGAGGGGGCAGTGCTGCAGGAGAGGGTGAGGTCAGAGATCACCTGAGAACCACTGGAGCGACTCTTAGCATTTTCCGGGAGCCCTGGGGGTTGAAGGCACATTTGGTGTTTCACATTTTTAAATTATTTTGCTGCCTGTTTCTCTCTTCACTCAAAGCATGGGTCGTGCTGCAGTTGGGCCTGTCTATCTGCAAAAGAGCGAAATGTTAAAGTCAAGAGAGGGATTGCAGACTAGGCTGAAGGACTTGTGTTTGCTGAAAAAGATACCAAAGGGAGCTGATTCTTCCTCTGATGTGTGAAACCAAGCACTCGGGGAGGGAAGAAAACGGCTTGCCTTAAGCTTAGTTCCCCCCATTCCCTGGCTGGGAAGGAAGGGAACCGAATGCCAGTGATAGCAGTGTGGGCTGAGACCAAAACCATTCAGAGAAAACACTGTCATTTTCCTCTAATTTGCAAATTGAAGCTATTCATGTTGGTTTGAACAGCTGAGGGAAGAAGAGCCCCCAGTTTTCACCTGCATTTATTGAGAAGAGGCTGGTAGTAGAAGGAGTGCACCAACTTGTAGCTTGTGCTGCAAGCTGGATATAACCATTGGTATGGGCATCCTGGGTAACCATTGCCCTTGTGGGAATATATGGATATAGAGAGAGAGAGAAAGAAAGAGAGAGAGAGAGAGAGGGATCTGTATATTCCAACAATCTCTTCCAGAAGGCTTTTTTTTTTGCATGTGAATTTAGATGCTCCTGGCAGGCAAGTCCAGTCCCTCATCTCCCAGCCTCTGTAAGCCTGCAGAATGAATAGAGAGAATAGTGGTACACAGACTCATTGTTCAAAAGCACAAGCAATTTAGGGAGAAAGGAAAAGAACGGTAGGTGCATCTTCTCTGGGATTGCAGTATTCAGCTCAATTAAGATTGTCCTATATAAAAAGAAACTCCTCTAGATGATCGAATTCTTAGCTCTCCAGAGATCTGAGTTTTCTTTTCCCTGGTCCCTGTGGGTTGCTGTGGGGACCCTGCCAAACCTATCATTTGAGATAAAAATTTATGGTGAGATAAGCTTCTAAGCTGGGGGAAAGAATACTCCCGGACTTAAGTAGGGGGTGCCAAGCACTGGGGGGCAGGAAAGAGTAATGAGATAGTACTAGATGTAAGAAATGCTGCTGCCGCCAGCAAAGCCTAGAATGAAGTTCCTTCCTGAAAATTAGGACTTAGGCAAGAAGGAGTACTCAGATGTAAATTGTGTCTATGACTTTGAATTTTCATTTGCCTGCTGGTGTACCAGAACAAAGATATGAGCTGAGCAAGTCCCTTCTCTCTCTCCTGTACATGCACGCTGAACTGGTTAGTAAGTAACATGTCAGAGGACAGGAATCGTATCCAGTGGGTCTTTCAAATCCAGGAATTTGAGGCTAATGAAATTAGCATGTGGCCAGGGCTCTGCCAACTGGAATTAAGTCATTGCAACTGCCCTGCATTGCATTTTCAGCCTCAAAGAAGCATCAGGGAGGAATTTCTGGAGATTTGTTTCTGAGCCTATACGAAATAATACTCTCCTAATGCTAAGAAAGATTAAATGTAAATTAATATTGACTATGAGTAACATATTTAAAAAATAATCACCGAGTGGGGATGGCTTAAAGTAGAGAGCTTATATAATATGGTATCCAAGGGATAAATCTCCCCTCATCACTGTTTTATGGGCTATAAGTAAGATATATTATAGTGGGAAGTAATGGGAATGTTTTTATTCAAGGATTCTCTGTTATTGACTTGAGAGCAAACACTCAGAGTATAAATTACTCTTGCTACGTCCTGACATTGAATGAACAATATTTCATGTGCAGTGACATGATCTAAGCTGTAGACTTGGAATGGAATGGCATCTTTTCCAGTTGTTTTGTTCCCTCAAAAGCAGCTAGATGGAAAAAGTGGTCAACCTGACCCATGTTGGAGCATATTGCAAATCTAAACCTGTGGATTTTGTACCATAAGGGAAATACATTGGTAAACTTGTGAGTGTTTTCCTTCTGTTATTGAAGCTTGAATATAATCTCCAACTTTGGGGGCAACATTTTATATACAAGTACTTAGTTTTCCTCCTTCTCTTTCTCTCTCCCCACCCCGCCATCTTACATTATTGCATAGAACTGGGCACCTAGGATGGTATGGTTTTACTATCATGGGAAGTTTTTTAAAAAAACAACTCTAACCTACTCTTCTTAAAATTTCATAGTATAGGTGTTAGTGCCATTGGAATAGTCTCTATAACAATCTCTGCCTCCACATTTACTGTGTTTCGGGAAATTTACCTAACAGATGGTGAGTGGGCATTATTTAAAGGGGCAGTTTTTAACAGAGCAGAGAGGGAGGAATTGAGCCAGGCACATTCTCTATTTGAAGATGCCTCCACGTGTATTTTTTGTAGACATACCCATACAATTAGGATGTCTTTGGGCATCTTTCTCTTCAAGGATAATTGAAACAATGAGTGCCTTTTCTTCAGTTTCACAAACATTTAACAAATCATAAATGCTCCATTTCTTATGCATCTAAGTTGTGTCATAGATTTAAAAGACCAAAGCTGGATTACATAAAGTGCACTCTAGTCTCAATCCTACCATTAATTAGCTGTTACCCTAAATAAATAAGTCACTTAATTTTTCTAGGCCTCATTTTCCTCATCTGATTTTTTCATTTTAAAAAATGTAGTTTCCAGAATTCTCTAATCTCTTTGTGTCAGTTTAGCTCGGAGAAAACCTGCTCTTATCAAAACTCTGTGACATTTTATTTCCAGCTCCCACTTTGAACTTTGAATGAGTTTGGGGAACTTTTTAAGGACATTCTCACAGAGCTATCTTAGTCAATCCAGCTGATTTCCCATATTCAGACTTTTTTCCTCATTCTTTACCAGTGTGCTCCATAGTCATATATATCACGGCTGGTGGTAAGGAAAGTGACCTCCTTGGTCAGCTTACCACGTGGTCATCGGACGCAAGGCAAGGAGTGAGAACTGTGGAGTTCACCGTAGCAGATATAACTTTCATTATCCAGTGTCTTGTTCCCTTTCATCTTGCAAAAACACCAGGCTTTTCTTTTGAAAAACTGCCAGAGAATGACATCCTGTCTCCTCCCAGGCCCCATGGGTGAGTCACCTAACTGAGCTCAGGCAAAGCAGGTGATTGGCTCAGGTAGAGGCATCTGACAAGGG